AGGAAAGAGGGGGGGTGGACCATTGGTCAATACCTCAGTCCTTCCTTTGCCCACCAAAAGCTAAAAGCCCAATGGTTTTAAAAATTGTTCAAAGTGGCCAATAAACGGTGTACAACCCAGCCTGTTACAAAAGCCTGCCTACCAAAGTGTATAAAAGATGCTTGAGTAAAGAGCTCGTGGCCGTTTCTGTCTTGAAGACGGAACGACCCCAGCATGCTGGAAATAAAAAAAAAACCTCTTGCTTGCAGCGATCTCTGTCTCCTGGTCTTTGCGAGATAAGCCTTCCCAACAAGTAAGATTCGCGCTTTTGGGCCAGTCTTACATAGCCTACCTGGACTTTCAGTGCTTATACTAGAAAAATGAATTTTGCTGACAGATCAGTTAAAGCGCAAGCCCAGGAGACCAACAGCTTTAAGCACTCCTGGAGCATCGCCTCAGGCCATGGATAAACCCCAGGCTGGCCAGTAGAGCAGTGCGCCACTGGGCCGGCCCATTATTGTTCTTTTTAAGATGCTATATAAGCCAGGGTTCTAAGCCTCCACTTTAAGTTACTTTTTATTGAAGCTTCTCCTGTATTACGTGTGATGTACACATTAATAAACTGTTTTTCTCTTGTTAATCTTTTTTGTTAAAGAGCCTGTCTTAGTCCATTTTGTGCTACTATAACAGAATACCACAGACTGGGTAATTTATAATGAACAGAAATTTTTTGACTCACAGTTCTAGAGGCTGGGAAGTCCAAGATCAAAAGGACAGTATCCGTAAGGGCCTTCTTACTGTGTCATATACATGGCAGAAGGCATCACGTGGCAGAAGGGCAAAGAGAGGGTTAGAGAGACAGAGAGAGAGAGAGACAAAAGAAGCCTGATCCCATCCTTTCATAAGGCACATACTCCCACAGTAATGGCATAATCCATTCACAAGGGAAGAGCCCTCATGGCCTAGTCACCTCTCATTAGGCCCCACCTCCCGACCGTGTTGCATGGGGGATCAAGTTTCCAAAACATGAACTTTGGGGGACACATTCAAACCATTGCAGAGCCCCAGCTGAAAACCTTTGATGAGTAAAGGTAAAGTTTTGCCTCCCCACGAGGCCTGTGCTCGGAACTGGTGCACTGGCACTAGTGCCACATTACACTGGCCAAAGCAAGTCGCAGGACCAGCCTAGATTCAGAGATGGGAAAACAGACTCCAGCTCTTGATGGCAGAGGTCATATAGCAGAGTGTGGATACAGAGAGCCATTATTGTGGCCACAAATACAACCATCCCCACAACAACCTGGAGGGCTCTCAGGGATGAAACTTTCCTGTTATGATTGCACTCTCAAAGAGTGACTAGGCATATGTGATCAGCAACACAAATGTCCACCTCTTCTGATTCCCCAGCCTTGGCTTTATTGTCTTTATTCAGCTTGAAACCTGATCTGGGTTCACCCCGAGGCTTGCCTGGAGACTGATATATCAGGAGATTTGTTCAGAGGCTTGCCCAGGGTGCCTCATGTGCAAGGAGACCTGGGCTCACCCAAGGGCTTGTCCAGAGTGCCCAATATGATGCAGAGCAACCCAGGCATACCTGGGGTACCTGATGTGCACAGAGGGCATGGCTCACCCTGAGGCTCACCTGGAGTGCCCTGTGTGCAGGGAGCAAATCCAGAAGCCAGTCATCCCTGTCCTGGCACTTTGGGAGTCAGGGGAGAATAGATGAGTCATATAGCAAAGTACGTGGATACAGAGAAGCCATTAATTGTGGCCATCAATACAATCTTTGACCTGAGCAAGGGCAAATTAAACTTGTGGGATGCCAACATCAGGCTGACCTCTAAAACCCCTATTTAAAGTCTTCATGGACTCCACCAGGGATCAGTTGCTCCCTCTTCTTAGTTTCTGGCATCATGAACCTCTTGTTCACCCTTCTTTGCCTGAACATACCATATTGACAGCGACTATCTGTCCTAGGCTGACTCTTCCACTTGACAGTGGACTCCTTCCAGGCAGGGCCTGCAGGTTGCTTTTGTCCCCAGTGGCCAGCTCAGGGCAGGGTGTGGGGTGGTGGAGGACATGTAGGGAAAGGGGCCAGCAGCAGGGGCCCAATGCCTCCCAACTGCCCATCCCACCTCTCAACGTTCTGGTTCTTGAGATGTTTGTAGCCAAATGCCAAGACATCTCCCTGACACCCAGAGACCTATATCATCGCCAGGGAAAATGATCTGGCCCTCCAATTCTGTGGTGAGATTCTTTGCTGCAGTCCACTTTCATCTCCAGTGCAGTTTACTTGTTAGGATCATAAGCACTGAAGTCAAAGATGTGTTTGAATCCTTGCCCATATGTTAAGCTATGTGGCCCAAGTCTTTCTCTTATGGCCTAAGTTTTTGTGTCTCCTCTTCACCCCCCAAACTCACATGTTTAAATCCTCACCCCCAAGGTGATGGTATTAGGAGGTGGGGCCTTTGGGAGGTGATTAGATCATGAGGGTAGAGACCTCATGAATGGGATTAGTGCCCTTATGGAAAAAAAACCCAGAAAGCTGCCCCATAACTTCTACAAGGCAAGGACATAGCCAGAAGGCACTGTCTATGAGAAAATGGGTCCTCACCACACACCATTGGTGCCTTGATCTCAGACTTCCCAGCCTCCAGAACTGTGAGAAATAAAGTTCTGTTGTTTTTAAGTTACCCAGTCTAAGGTATTTTGTTACAGTGGCCTTTGTGGACTAAGACACTTTCTAAGCTGTAGAGTACCTATTAAAAAAGTTAGAGTTTTAAACGCTTTCCCCATGTTATTGTCAGCAGGGACAGATCCAGGTTTTATGTGGCCTGAGGCTTCTAAAGCTTGAAGGATCCTCCAATGAGCTTCAGCTTGAAGACCAATATACTTATGCTTCCTCCAAGTAAAGCAGAAAATGCCAGATCCTCCTTGCCCAGTCTTCTTTGCAGCTAGGATGTGGGTCCACGATCCATGTCCCACCAAACTAAGGCCTGAGATCAGAAGCAAGTGATCACCAGAATCCCTCCTGGCAACTGATGGCAGCAGTGAGGGCAACTCCCTCATTTCCAGAGGTAACAGGCTCAGAAGTTCTAGTGGCAACTGTCATAGTCCCCAGACCAGCTCTGTGCCCCCGTGTGACTTGGATTGTTCTGTGTGAATTCAAATCTACTTCCTTGTCCGTCCCAGAGGTTCTGTGAGCTTATTTTTCTTTTAAACATGTACTGAGCACTTATTGGCTCTGATTTCCCGAGCTCAGGACTAAGCACTCTACACATCCAGCATCCTTTAATAAGCCCCTTTGTTGCCGAAGCTAGGTTTTGTGGCTTGCAGCTTGGAATCTACCCTGTTCTCCTCCAGGACCTGGCTTGCGAGGACCAAAGGAAGACAGAACCAACTCAGAGACTTTTTCTTTCCAAGCTCTTGGCAATCCCGATTAGTTCCTTCACCCTCTGACCTGCCCCACCTGCCTTCCAGCACGGATCCTCTCCAGCCTCTTGCTCTGCAACATGCTACACCTGGCTTGCTGCCCAGGCCTCCCCAGCCCTCTCTCCCCCAGCCTTTCCACCTCACTGCCTTCTTCCAGGCTTATCCAGAATGCTCTCCAGATTCTGCAGTCTGGACTCAGAATTTAACACTTCCTGTATCCCCCAGCAGTGTCGCTGGCCATGACTCTCCTTGCTCTTCTCTAGAGCAAATAATATGGAAAAATATGTCCCTTCTTCACCCAGGAGACAGGCCTCCACAACCATGATCCACCCTCTTCTCCCCAGTGCAGCCCCAAAACAAAATCCCCCTCTTTCCTTCAACCTCCTTCTCACTATGTGACATTGGACCAGTCTTTTCACTTCTGACTTTTGCTTGTCAAACTTTACAGGCTATAAACTCTAATCTGTATCACACAGGTTAATTGTTATGTTTATTTCTGTAGGTAGGATCTTTTCCATCAGTTCACCTTATCTGGGCAGGGTGATGGGGGCTGGTGGGCTCCTGGGAGTCAGGGCAGAGAGAGACTAATGGGAGACCACAAGACAAAAGGATTTTGGTCTGATTTCTCACTGAAGATACAGGTGAATATAAAATGTGGTCATCCCAGGGCCATGGGGGGAGTGGAGTTCAGGCTATGTGTGTGTGTGCCAGGCTAGGACACTCTTCTCAGCTCCTGCATGACACTTTCTAAGGGAAAAGAGAGTTGAGGGGAAAGAACGTGCTGGAGTAAGAGCCAAGTCAGGTGAACTGTTTTTTATTTTTTGGCAACTGTCTGGTACAGGGATCTGAACCCATGGCCTTAGTGTCACAAGGCTGTGCTCTAACCAACTGATGCACTATTAAAAGAGAGACTTTATACAACCAGTTACAGATTTCTTTGTTCCTTCTCCACTCCCACTGCTTCACTCAACCAGCCTAAAGAAAATAAGTAAATAAATAAATAATAAAAGACTTTAGACAAATTTAGCAGAATTTATTTGAGCAAAGGAACAATTCATGAATTGGGCAGCACCCTGAAGCAGTGAAGGTTCAGATAGCTCCACCCAGCAACTTAGGCAGGCAGTATTTATAGACAGAAAAAGGAAATGACATACAGAAATAGCCTGACTGGTTACAGCTCAGCCATACCTTATGTGGACAAGTCTGAGTACTTTATAGCCTGTGACTGTGTGAAAGCTCAGCTGCTATGATCTGCAGAGACTCATCTACTTATAACAAGAATATACTCTACTTAAGCTGCAGTTTGTTTACATATTAAATTAGGTTACAGTTTGCTGGGTAGGTGGCAGCTTTAGGCCAAACTTAATGTAATTTAACAGAACTTACTCCCTGTGCCCAGAGAAAGTGGGGGCAAGACATTCACTTTCCATGAAGAGTGAGTCTTCAGCTCAAAACGATCCTTAAAAGAGAGAGAGAGAGAGAGAGAGAGAAAGAGAAAAGAAGAAAAAAAGTAAAAAACAAGTGACTCTGATGAGAACCTGGCTCCTAAAGAGGACTCAAAGGAAAACCAAAAATGGGGGTGTGGGGGGGGGGAGAAACATGGAGTTTGGGTCTCAGTCTTTTTCTGCTTCAGGGACGGACCCTGCACTGCTGGCCCCTAGTAGCAGTTTGTTGCCCCGTGCACCCAGCCCCTCTCCATCATACACTGGCCTCCTGGCCCTGGTGACCACCACAAGTGAGGACCTCCTCTAAGGCCCGGGGTGCGTGGAGGTGGACGATGCCCAGCTGAAACTGCTCGGGCCTCGCGGCAGCACCAAGTCCAAGCCGAGGTCATGCTGCTCGTCCTCCGAGAACACAGGCCGGTAGCCCAGCAGCTGCAGAGCCCCGGCGCACAGCTCCTGCACGCGGCGGATCTTGGGGAAGGGCAGCGCCTGGCGCCAGGCCTGCGAGACATTGAGCGCGTTCCTGGAAGTGGTCTTGAAGGCCTCGCGGGGGGAGCCGAGCCCCGACCCGTGCGTGATGTTGTGGATCCAGCTCTCGAGCTGTGGCGTGAGGCTCAGGCCAGTGAAGCTGTAGAGCGCGCGGATCTCGGCCAGCGGCTCCCGCACCAGGTCCTCGAAGCGCACCAGGCGGTAGCGGCCGCGCAGGAAGGGCGGTGGCTTCTGCGTGGCGGCCTCGGCGATGCGCACGTGGCTGCGACACACCTCGCGCACCACGCGCAGACCCGGGTCGGCCTCCACCCACGTGCCGTTGGTGCCCAGCACGATGCCGTTGTCGCGCGCCAGGTCCTTGGCTGTCTGCTCGCGCGAGCGCAGCACGGCCCGCGGGTCGCGCACCAGGTGGACGATGCGCAGGTTGAGAGCGGGGTCGCTGAGCAGCGGGTAGAGCACCTGCAGGTTGAAGAAGCGCACCTCCTTGAGCACCACGTGGCTGTAGGAGCGGCAGGCCTCTTGGGCCAGGCTGAAGGGCCTCCGAGCGCACAGCGGCTTGCACACGGTCTCGCTGCTGATGGCGTCGCGCCGGAAGGCGCTGCAGGCCGGGGGCGAGCACAGCGCGCGGCTCACCGCCCACTGGAAGAGGTCCGACAGGTTGCGGCGCCAGGGCAGGTAGGCATCAAACACATCCATGTCGCACAGGAAGACGGAGCGCACCAGGTCGCGCACGGCCATGTGCAGCACCGGGGCGCTGCTCTTGGACAGGGTGGTCCACACGTGCCACGCGGGCTCCATCAGATAGAAGACGTCAGGGTGCTGGCTGAAGAGCTGGCCCACGAAGGACGAGCCTGAACGCCATGAGGACAGCACCAGCACGTGCACGTGCTCCTCGCGGCCCGACTGGGACGGTGGCCCTGGCCGGGAGACCAGGAAAAGCAGGAGGCAGGTCTGCAGCAGCAGGAGTGCGGTCACTGCAGTGCCGGAGACGCGTGGCAGCCACATGCCGCCGGCTAGGGGCCTGCGGGAGGAGGGTGCAGCAGTTAGGGACTGTGGCCCTCACGCCCAGCGCCTGCCCCAGCTACTACCCAGTGCCTGACCGCCCAACTGGAAGGGGCCTCCCCAGACCACGATGGTCTCAGTCGGGCACTGTCCCAGGAATGTAAAGTTAAAGCATAAGCCATGATCTAGTCTATGCTGAGAGCAAGTCCAGTTGCGGAATACTGTGGGAAGTCAATCAATCTTATCTTTCTGTGTACTTATTGTTTATCTATCTATCTGGAGGGGGAAATATTTTTAAAGCAGAATTCCTGCCCTTTGCTTGAGAATTCCTCTTAGGGAGACACTTTTAGGTTGTTTAGCTAAACAGCTTGATGGGTCATTTGGCTGATGTCCGAGCACCTCCCTAAAGATGAATCCTGGCTCTGCCACTTCCTAGCCTGTGATCTTGGACCAAACACTTAATCTCTCTGTGACTCAAACTCCCATCTTTAAAAAGGGGATAGGGGCTGGCCAGTTAGCTCAGTTGGTGAGAGCCTGGTGCTGATAACATCAGGGACCAGGGCTCAATCTCTGTATGGGCCAGCCAGTAAACAAATAAAATAAAAAGGGGACAATACTGGTACCTGGTTCACAGGATTTTGGAAGATTATTGGATGGAGCATGGAAAGCAGGAGCGTGTAGTAACCTTAATAACTGAGGATGTGGACTTTCTACATAGTGTTCGTCTGCACTATATGATTTTTTTTCTCAGCAAGCAGATACAATTTTGATTATTAAAAATAAACAAACAAATAAAATAGACCAAGAACATCGACTGTTGCCATCACCTATGAGGAGTGAAGTGCTGGAGGCAGCATGGACTCCAGAGCGAGGGTGTCCTCCTGCAGCCCTGTGTGTTTGCAGAAGAGACCAGTTAAAGGGGAGGTAGGATGGAGCCAGGGAGGCAGAGAGGTGAGAGTGGCCTGCTGCCTGCCACTTTCCCTGCTGAGGGTACTCACTGCTGTCCAGGGCTGCTGGGAGAGCTGCCCACGCTGATCACAAATCCATGGGATATGCCTGGAGGTTCCACAGAGCCTGGGAAAGCAGGAGGGAGACTGGTCAGAGTCTCACCGGGGAAGATAGCCTCGCACAGAGAAAGCTCCCTATGGGTGGGAGTGGCACTGCCCTGCCCCTGGCCTGAGCTGGGCATTTTTCTAAATGGGTGTGAACTGACAGGAGCTCCTGCTGGAAAGAGGAAAGAGCTGGATTTGAGTCCCAGCACTGCCACTTAGGTGACAGGAGACCTGGGTCAAGCGACCTGATTTCTTCTAGGCTCAGTTTCCTCCTCTGTAAAATAGGGATTGCAACATCTAACCTCTTAAGGTTGTTGTGAGGAATGCTGCTGTAAACACCTGTGAGAAGAGGGCTTTGTAAAGTGTCATAGGTTTATCTCATGTTACTGCTGCTGTTATAGTGTTGAGCTATGTCCGGAGGGGAGGAAGCCCCTCCCCAAGGGAAGTCACCTACACTTTGAAGCCCATCATCTTCCAGGCCCACCTCTAGCCCCCAATCATCCCTGCACCCTTTAGATCTTAAGAGTGTTATACTTGTTCCACAGGGTGGCAGGAACACTGAGCCCAGCTCTGACACTCCAAAGTCCTAGAGTTTCCTCCTCTTTGCACCTGTTGCTCCTGCAATGATCTCAGGGATGTATGACTTTGGAAGGGAGAGGCCTGAAAAATTCCTCCTGCTTTTGTGAAAGCATTTCCTCCCCACCTAATCTCCTCCCCATCCATGTCACCACTGTGAGAAACCAGGGTTTAAATTGTGGATAGATCCCATCTCTGTTCCTTCTCCTTCTCCTTTGCAGGAGTGGGCAGAGAATGCTCAACAGCTCACCTGCTCTGCACCTGTTATCAGTGCTCCTTGAGTGCTGGCTGATGAATGGTGAGCTCCCCAGAGAACATCAGGCAGGAGAGGAAGGGAACTCATATTTGCTGACATAAATTACCACAAGTGCTAGATGCTTTATGTCCACTCCATGATTTAACTCAATGGCCCCTCAATGCTTGGGGAGATAGCAGGGAAGCTGGGGCCCCAACCCAGGACTCCTGTTTCTAAGCTCCTGGCACTTCTGATCACAGGCTACTGGCCTCTCCCACCCCTGATTGCTCCCTGCAGAGTGCAGGACCCTGCTGCTTTGGCCCAAAAACACTTGCCCTGGTCAGCCCAGCCTTCCCCTGGGTAGGGAGGATCTTGAACCCAGGCCAACGTGTTTGTTACCTGTGTTCCAGAAAAGCCAGAGGTCCTCTGAAGTGACTCACACACACCAACTGATCACACACTAACTGCTGTCTGATTCTATCATGGGGACTCAAGGACCAGGAAGGAGATTGAAACATCCTCTGCCACTCAGAGTATCCAGAGAAGTCCAGATCCTAGCTGGGAGTATTCTTTTTCTTTTTCTTTTAAAGATGACTGGTAAGAGGATCTTAACCCTTGACTTGGTGTTGTCAGCACCACGCTCTCCCAAGTGAGCCACAGGCCGGCCCTCTAGCTGGGAGTTTTCTAATGAAGAGCCTTGTGTTCAGCACATTGGCCAATTGCCCAAGAGTTCAAAGTAAGAAGAACATGTCAGGTGGGCACTGTGACATATCAGTCTACTTTTATCTCCATGATTGAATTTATCCTCCCAGCGTCCCTAGAGATTATCATCCCTGTCTGTTTTAATTGAGGCAGTGAGGCTCAGAGACATGAACACCCAGCTAGCAATGGCCACGGCAGGGGTTTAAATCCAAATGCTAGACCCCCAGTGTAGGCCACTATGGTTTGTCCAGTGAAGCCTCCCATCATGGAAGGTCTGTTTCCTCCCCTATGAATTCTTTCCTTTTTTGATTCTTTTTTTGGGGTATGTATTTATTATATGTTTAATATTTGGAAAAGGTAATACATAGAGATGGCAAAAAAATTCTAAAAGTACAGATAAGGACATTACAGACTCAAGTTTTGTGAAAATTAGAAGAGGGGCCCCATCCTCCAGGCAGACACAGCCCCACACCAGAGTGTAAGGGCCAATCAGGCAAAAGGAAGTGACAATCCCTGTCCCCTATGTCTTTCCCAAGCACTGCTCAGAGGAAACCCTACGTCTGATTTCCACCAAATCTCTGATGACAATGGTGATGACAATGATGATGAAAATAATCATATATTTCAGGGGAGGTAGGTCAGAGTAAAGTACAAGAGGCCGCAGAAGGAATAGAATGTTCTCCTCCTGCCTTACTACCTAAGAGCGCCATACAGAGTGGTCTTTCTCAAGTCACTGAAACTTTTTTTTTTATTATAAAGTCTTTTTTTAAAACTTATTTTTGTCAAAATAATACACATAACTTGAATAAGCATAAAATACCCCTTGAAGTTTACACAAGAAAGTGATAACGTTAGTTTTCTTTGGAGATGAATGAAATAGCTGAGGAATAGATATTTCATGATAAACCCTTTTTTTGCACCTTTAGAATTTTTTTTTTTTTTTTTTGCGGCTGGCTGGTCTCAGGAACCCTGTACCTTGGTGCCATGAGCACCATGCTCTACCAATTGAGCTCACCGTCCTGCCTGCACATTTTGAATTTTGACCCATATGAATACATTGCCTATTTAAAAATAACTAAAAATATTTTAAAATGTGTATAGTTTAAAAAGTCAAATAGTTATCACGTCATTTTCTTGCTCTAGCATACTACTTCCCAGAGGCAACTGCTGTCAAATTTGTTGGCTGTTTCTTCTGCAAATTAATTACCTTCCTACTTAAAAGACAGAGAGAGAGCTCTAATTGTTACTGTTATAATTTATGGTATTTTTATAGTCACTTAATACAATGAAAGATAAGAATTTACCTTCTCTACACACACACACACACACACACACACACACACACACACACACACACACACACTCTCACACTTCTCTTAGCCTCCTAATATAATTTTTGGTGAAATCAATATTGAAAATTTATATTATATGACTTCATAAAACAGCTCATAATTGAAGGTGCTGGCCACTTAGCTCGGTGGGTTAGAGTGTGGTGTTATAACACCAAGGCCAAAGGTTCAGATCCCCAAACCAGCCAGCTGCCAAAAAAACCCCAAAAATAAAAACCAAAAAAACATATTTGGCTGGCTGGTTAGCTCAGTTGGTTAGAGTGCAGTGTTATAACACCATGGTCAAGGGGTTTGGATCCCCAAACAGGACAGCCACCAGGAAAAAAAAAAAAAAAAAAAAAAAAAGATGAAAAATAGAGAAAAGACAAGAAAGGAAGAGGTTCAATCCCGGAAGTCCAATGCCCAAAGTCCCGATCCTGGTGGAGCTGACAATCTAGCTGGGAATTTACAAATACATCCTTGTGATGGTCGATGGACCAGATGGTGGTCCCCCATGAATTGCCCAGACATCCAGCCACAGGAGGGCCATGCTAGTCCTGGCACACATACTTGTCTCCTGGATTCTGGCGAAGTCCCCCAGCTGGACTCCCCCCAGTCCATCTTGCACAGCACCACCAGAGCTGCCTAAACCACACATCTGATCATGCCATTTTCTACTCGGCAACTTCTAGCTCTCCAACCGCACTTCCCATGATTCCCGTCCAGCATCCAATGCTTCAAGTAACCAGGAGTCATCTCTGTTTGTCAAACAAGCTGCATGCTCCCCTACTCCTCTGCTGTGAGCACCCAGTCCTGACTCTGTTCTCAGATATGCAGCATGGAGCTTGGCACTACATAGGTGTGGACATGGTTGTTTGTGTCTGCTCAGTTCCTATTCCCCCTTCTAATAACAGCCTCTAGACTGTTCCCTGGGGAACCCTCCTCACCCACTCAAAGTACATGTCATTTGGGTAGGGCTGATCCCCTAGTTCCTAAGGGTCATGTGTCCCAAGACTGGCTCATCTATATATTTCACACACTTATCCCCTTGCCACCCATATCTGCCACCCCACACAGAACTATTGGCTTAGGAATGGGACATCTGGCCAACTCCAATCCTAGAATTTTTGTAGGTTCAAAGGGAAGAGAGAAACTGCCTGGATATAGAGCCAACACAGAAGAAAACCTAGCAGAGAAAGAAAGGCAAAGAGTTTATGAGCAAGCTGACAGCACCATATAAACATCTGGATCCAGCTGTGCAAGATTTCCCCTGGACTTCTCAGTTGAGGAGGTATTCCGTTTTTGCTTAAGCCAGCATGAGTTGAGCTTCTATCACCTACAACCAAGAGTCCCGATGACACAGTGGATACCCTTGGTGGGGAGAGGTAGGATAGAAGTGGAAGGGTACGTGGGCAGAGCTTCTGGGGAGCTGGTCAGGCTTGACGAGGGTGCTGATTACATGAATGTGTTTGTGAAAATTCATCAAGCTATACTCTTGTGTTATTTTTCCTGGTGGCTGGCAAGTACAGGGATTGAACCCTGGACCTTGGTGTTATCAGCACCATGCTGTAACCAACTGGTGTGCTCTTTTTTTTTTTTTTAAAAGATGACCGGTAAGGGGATCTCAACCCTTGGCTTGGTGTTGTCAGCACCACTCTCAGCCAGTGAGCAACCGGCCATCCCTATGTGGGATCCGAACCCGTCTTGGTGTTATCAGCACCGCACTCTCCCAAGTGAGCCACGGGCCGGCCCTGGTGTGCTCTTTTCTGATGTATGTTATACTTCAATAAAAAGTTAAGAATCCTGACTGAATAAGACAGTGTCATATCACAGAATGTCCCAAAGACCAAATGAGCAGATGACATTAATAAATATTTGCTGAATTGAAATTAGATACTCTGTGATTCAAATCTAAAGGGAGTAACTCCCCACTTACTCCACCTTTTTTTTCTCTTGAGTATCTTAAAGTTACAGTACCTTCTAAACATCCCTTACCATTTCTTGGCCTGAAAGATACAGGAAGGAGCTATTGTTCTGCCTAATTTGCAGATGAAAAAACTGACATACAGGGCAAGGGATGGTTTGCCGCAGCAGGGGTCAAGCTAGAGCCCAGGAAGCCTGGCT